TTCCTTTTTGTCGAAGGAACGACATAATTAAAATTCTTTCTTTGTCCATATGAAGTCAATACTAGTTTTTAGAGGTACCAATAATAATAGCATGAATTAATGGTTAGATTAAATACAAGTGTAATTAATAACTCTTTACTCAATAGAATTCATAATTTCTTAGAAGTATATAAACATATGCAATTAATGGTTCATACTCAATGACATAATTGGCATTCGTGTAGCTGATGGTGCAAAACTTGAGCAGAAAATGTTGATTGCTGATTGCTTTTGAGGGGAACCACAACTGACTAGAATTTGAATTCACAATTTCCTTACACAAGACACGTAATTGAGTAAAGGAGTAAATAAGGATGTAAAATTTTACACTTTTTTTATTTAAAAATATTAACTTTGTAAGTTTTTAAATAAAGATATTAACTAAATTTTTTTTAAATAAGAATGTCAACTTTCAATTTTTTTTATTTAATGATGTCAACTTTCAATTTTTTTTATTTAAAGATTAATTGGGTGGTGATGCTGACCTGACTAACATATTTTTTTAGGTTAAATACCTGAATTGTTCCCTCAACTTTTATTTTTGAATCAATTCATCCTTGAACTTCAAAAAGTACTGAAAACGTCTTTCAACTTCAATTTTCAGCACCAATTTCGTTTTTCCGTTAATTAAGTGCTGATGTAGCTAATTTTTTCGCTAAGTGATTGACTATTTTACATTTTCAATATTATGTGGAAAATCCCTCATATAAAAGATGATTCTTTGGATGTTTTTAATTTTAAATAATTTAAAAACTATTTTAATTCTTAATTTTACTTTATTTATATTTAAAAATTAAAACAATTAATATGTGTCCAGCACTTGGAGGCCAACTGGCCTCCCTGCAAGGCAGGACGTGCTTAGGACTAGTTGAACTTGGGTTCAATCCCAAGTCCCCCCTTCCCCATCCCCCGAAGAAAAATTCCCATTGTTCAAAAAAAAAAAAAAAAACAATTAGTATGTTTTCCCATTTAATTAGTCCCACCTACCATAAATAACTCTTAATTTATAAAGAAATAAATTAACTCTTATTTAATTTTATTAAATCAAATTTCACCTACTATAATTATTTCCTAATTCATGAAAGAATCAATTAACTTTTCCTTAGTAATTCTGTTATCTCTTGGCATTACAAGAAATAAACTATTCCATCTCGCTCTAGTACTAAAGTTGAGTGTAGAGCTTTTAATGATACCATATCAGAACTTCTTTTATTATGGTGGCTTTATGAAAATATGGTATCCCCCAACCTTTTTCTATTAATTTATATTAATTGTGATAATCAAAGTGTTGTACCTATGATTTTGATGATTATAAAATACATTTGAATAACTAATTTGTTCATCTAAGTGTGTAGTTAAACTCTCAAAAGATTGCAAAATTAAGTAAACTTGGACTGCACAAAACTGGACCAAAAAGCCTGTGAATTGTGTAGAGAACTAACTCTAAAAATCTACAGCTGGCTCTGGTGAACAAAACTACAGAGAGCGGGCTTTAGAACATGTAGTCAGCTTTACGAGCGAAAGCAAACCTACAGTTTGGAATGCACGGAAAACGAAGGCAAAGTCGACTTTAACTTTGCAGTAAGCTATGATGGCACATTTAATGCACGACGGTCAAGTTATTTAAAGATTATTTAATCTTTTTAAAGTCGAATTTCCAAAGCCAGTTTTACGTTTTTGTAGTCAGCTCTTGAGTAAAATAGAATGTGTAGGAAGACTGCAAAGTTGGCTATAGAATTCAAAGCTAGCTCTAGAGTTAAATCCGACTCTACTGATAAGTCTGTGACTCGAACTTACTCGATCTGCAGAACATTTAATGACCCCCAATAGCTAAAAACGACTATTTTCGACTTAGGGGCTATAAATATGGTAGGTAGTAAATCTGGAATAAGTTTTTTTGAGCATTGTATTGAATATCTTTACCTATTAACTTGTGTTTTAACTTGAGTTTTTGATCTTTATTTGTAATCCTCTTTTTGTTCTACTTATGTGCAATGTTTTAAAAATCAGACCGGACTAGCGGTTGAACCAGTTGGACCAGTACCCAGTACAATAAACGGGTCAGGTCAAGGTTTAAAACCGATAAAGTGGTTGAACCGTTCAAAATCGATAGAATCGTTCGGATCGATACAAACTATTAAATCGTTCAACTGGACGATTTAAATCTTTGGTTAAATACCCTTTTTGGTCCCTCTACTATAAGAAAAAGCCCCTTTGTGGTCTCTGTACCGAAAAAAATTCCCTTTTTGATCCCTAAATTTTAAAATCCAGCCCCTTTTTAGTCCCTCCGTTAATTTTTGCTTACATGGCACGTTAACTTAATTGAAACAACTGACGTGGATATGCCAACGTGTAAAAGATGCTTATATGGACTTAAATTTGGTCCCTCAACTTTATAAGTTTGCACTTTTTTGGTCCTTAAATTATTTTTTTTCACTTTTTTTATCTTTTAACTCTAAAAATTGTACAATTTTGGTCCATTCGTCAGTTAAGCATGACGTAATAGTTAAATAATTCCATTTGACATTTTCTTTTAATTTTTTTTTATGATATGGCAATTATATATATATAATTATGTTATATAAATAAATAAAAATATCACGTAGATAAATATTTATATTTTAATTAAAAAATAAAATTACATTATTACCCT